GTAAAATAATTTTTTTATAATCAAATTATGAACTAAAATAATTTAAAAATTTATAATTTTTATAATTTTATTATAAATCTTAAAAAAAAAATCAACTCTTACTACTGTACTAAATTAAGTACTGTAAAATTTTGAAAAAATACAACAGTTTTAAAGCTAATTTGTACTAAAATTTTATTAATAAATATTCAAATTTTATACAAATATTATAATAATGTCAAAATATATTTTAGCAAAATTTAAATAAAATTTATTGTTTAAAATGATTTTTTTAGTATGTACTAAATTTAGTACAAAATCCAAACGGATAGCCATTAAAAAAAGCTTACAAAATGGCTTCGAATACTTAAATATTTTTTTTTCGTTTTTTCTTCCCTTCAAGTCTCTAGAAAAATTATTGACAACTATATAAATAATCGAAAAATGAAAGACCTGTAATGGTTCATTAAAAGTATAACTTGTTTTACAAAATCCACCAAGTAAACACGAAACCAAGCTTAAATATTGAGTTATTAATATCTTTAAATTAGTTGAAGTTGGAGTTATCGAAGAATTGAACGTTCAATTAGATAAACATCATCGTGACACTCAAGTTTGTCATATTGAAGACTTAATACCGACACTTGTCAAGCTTATCAAAATACGACCAAGACAAAATTTTTATTAAAATTAAATATATTATATATTAAACATTTAAATCGCTTATTGTTTATAATAATAATTCGGATCTAGTAACGAGTTAGAACCGTTAGGCACTCAGATCTCGACATAATTTCAGTGGGCAAGTTCATCTCTGGGTCTTAACTAGTATTGCTTGCTGCAAATATGAAGTGCGACTTTTTAGTTGTGCCATTAGGGTTGAAACTTATTGTCGCAATAGAATGTGACATCGGTAATAATATTTATGACTATTTTGTAATAATTACAATAAATAAGCTGTAAAGATTAAGTTGTGACTTTGCAGCAGGCAACACAACACTAGGCTTAAAATATTACAAGCAAGGTGTCTATTCAAGAAACTGATAAATATATAAGAAATAAGGTAATAAACCAAATTATGAAAATGGGAGCTGCTCTTGTCGTAAAAACAGTTTTCTATAGTACATGTAAAAGTCATTATGTTTGTTCTTGTGAAATTTCCTGTATTAGCTTAAAAGTGACGTCTAACATTTATACATAAATCGTCTTGTTCATAGTAAATTTTTAAGTAGAAAAAACGGTTGTTTCGCTCGAAGAATTCCCAAATCATTATCGCTTGAATTAAATTTTTATCATCGTTAATTAATATTATTTACAAATTATTTACTTTTCAGAATTTGGGGTTTCCAAAATTTTCATTAAATGATCTTGCCTTTAAAGTCAAAAATCTTATAACGTTTGTTTAAAAAACTTTCGAAACAGTAGGACGAATTGGTATAATACAAACTTTACATTCATGTATTGTTATTGCAACTTCGCTTCGACCACTTTCTGCGGGATATAAAAGTGTCATATGTGGACTTTTACTAATTTTATCTTGACTGGCGTATTCGGGTATTCAATACGCTTGCAAATTAGTTTATAAAAATTTTCGATTATGCATTTATGCTCCTAAATTTTTTCCAGTTTGTTTTATTAAATGAAACTCTTCAGTTTTACAATAACTGTAAAGGATTGTGAAGGCATGAGTAGCTCAATATTTAAACTTTAATTACGAGAAAAGTTTGGACTCTCTAGTATGTTCAAACATTTGGTCGAAAGATTCATAATCTAGAAAATTATTTGTGAATTATTATATTGAAGAAAAAGATTCATTTCTAAAATAATAAATTTAATTTAGATGAGATCCACAGTGAACGACGGACTTTGGGGAGAACCCCAGGTAATTCTAAAAAAGGTAATATTATTAAACTGATTTAATTTTTATTTGGACCAGAATTTAGAAAGTTTGGGCCAAAAAAATGTCCAGTTTACCTTTTTTAGAATTATCCGAGGGCCCTTTTTAGGAACTAGTTCAGAACCGGTCCACATCGAATAGATTTATTAGTATTATTAGTACAGTAGTATGACGTAAATCATGAATATCACGTTTAAATTAAACTCGGCGTTTCCAAAATTGGGAAATCTAAATCAAATTTGTAAATGTTTTTTTACGCCATTTTGCGTTAGAGATCCAAGATTATATTAAACCGCTAGGGTTAGACTAGTTTCTGACACTCGTTCAGAACCGGACCAGACGAACATCGAATCGACAAATTTTTTTTATCTAAATATACTGTAAATTTCTTTTATTGTTGCTAATAAACAACCCAGTTCGATCATACTGATGAAATATGGAGGGATAATTTAATTCCAAAAGCCAACCTAATAGATTAAGGCTAAGCATTAACCAAATTTGTATTTGTTTGTATCTGACAATGAACACCTTATTTAAAATACATATACGTAATCATTGCCGGAATAAGTAGTAACGCAAATGGAATAAAAAAAGATTTTTTTGCCGCACCTTAAGAACGCTTAACGTTAATTTTTTCCTCCTCACATCTATTTTCACCAATTTTTCCCAATTTTCGTTATGGTAGGTTATTAATCATATTTTGTGTGTTTTCATATAATAGAGAAAAGGCTGTAATTATTCATTGCATAGTACATTGCTAGAATAAACAAACAAAGATATACGTACGTAATAATTGGATTTTTAATAATTTTTAAATTATAATCTGAATAGGCACTTACCGCAGAACGGGAAGCTGAATTAAGAGAAGTTTTTTCTAAACTTGATAAAGATAATGATGGTCATATTACTGCAAATGAACTTGGTACTGTTATAAAATCTCTCGGTTATAATCCCACTGAAGATGAATTAAAAAGAATGGTTAGCAATGTTGATTCCGATAAGGATGGTAAAATTAACTTTAATGAATTCGCAACTATGATGGCCCATAGTTCGAATGATTCTGATGATGATCTAAGGGAGGCTTTTAAGGTTTATGATAAAGATGGTAATGGATACATTACCCCTGCTGAGTTAAAAAGCGTAATGAACAGTCTTGGAGAAAGGATTACTGATGAAGAAGTTGATGCAATGGTAAGTCTATGAATATCTATTGTCCTTTAAACATTATGTAACATCTACATATGACACTTATTAACATAGATCCGTGAAGCCGATACCGATGGTGATGGAAGAGTTAATTATGAAGAGTTTATCAAGATGATGAAATCCTAATATGTTGAAGAATAACAAAGACAAAAAGATATTGTGGCCAAATATTTAATTATTAGCCATTTCTTTTCAATATATATTTATATATTCTCTTGGTTGAATTACTTATATAAAAGATTTATGAATGTTGTGTAGTGAAATGGCTGCCAAGCTGCAAAATTTCCATCTGTTTAATTTACTATATTATTTCAAAACTCTCAGCCGTTTGATCCTTAAATGTTTTATTAATGCACATCTTTTTATGTTCTCTGATCAACTACGTATTTAAGGATAAAACTCGCTACAAAAATATTTAATGATATTGTTCTACGTCATTTTCAATTTATGTCAATTATTAATTGACATTGCCTTTCGTAAATTAAAAAATGGCACATGTTTTTTTTAAATTCAGTACCCATTTACTGCTTAATAAAAAAAAAATAATAATTAAAATAATAATAATACTGTAATAAGGCAATTGCTAGTTAAAACCTAACTCATACAAGGAGATCCCCAAGATTCTGAGTCGGATGGGCTGAATTTATCAATTTTGCCCAAGATCACTAAGAATTTTACTAATGAAATCATAGTCGTTCATTAAGTAAAAAGTGCCCAGCTGATAATTTTACGTACTATAGCTTTTTCAAGACACTTTCGAACATAGAGGTTTTTTTTAATATAGCCTTGATAATAGATAAATGATATTTAAATTTTCATTTAGAAAATGTAAAGATGCTAATTTTCATTTTATTATTTCAACTAAATATTTTTCTTAAGGGTTGATTTTAAACCTTTGATTTTGATTATAATATAAGCAGATGCCCTTTGCAAGAACACCTCCTTAAAAATCAATATAATAAAATTGGATCCGAAGGTGGAAAAGCATTAGCAGATACCCTTTGCAAGAATACCTCTTTAACAATATTAAACTCTATAATAATGATCCCGGTTTCGAAGGAAGAAAAACGTTAGCAGATGACCTTTGCGAAAACACCTCCTTAACAACGTTAAATCTCGGATATAATAAACTTGGATTAAAAGGAGGATACGCATTAGTTGAAAACACTTTGCAAGAACAATACTCTAAAAGATTTAGATATTCGAGACTACAAGTTCTCAGAAATTATACGAATTTTATCTTTCGTGACTCCATAGAATTTATAATGTTTATGTGTTCGCTAACAGTTTACACTAATTATATGATTAGAATTTAATACATAATTTGTTGGATTGTAGTCAAGTCAAGATATATTTGTATGTTGGTTACATTTCCATAAATTTTTGTACAAACAAACGAAGATTTAATAATGTTGAATATGTCACAACATTATACAGTAATAATAAAATTATTTGTAGAACAAATATTACATGATATAAAAATATATACGGTCGACAGTCTTTATAACGAATTAGTGGTTCTTATAGTAAAAAGTCAAGTTTTTTTATAAATTTATTATATCACTATACGATATCTAATAAATTTTTTTAAAAAAAGTTCGTTATAAAATATTGTTATTTGACTGTGTAACTTATATTTATTCAAATCCGAACATTAATTTTTCGCATAAATGCAGCTTTGATTACATAAATTTCAAGCAAAAGAACGAAAAAAATTTAAATAGAAAAGAAAAATGAACAATTTTGGCATTGATTTCATAACACACATCCACATTTTCTTGTGTATAGTGAATTATTTTTTCGCTAATTGCAGGCTTTGGTATTGCAATTGGTTTTCAACAACGGCAGTTTTTTTTTTATTTGTTCTACTTGAACTAGTTGCTTCTTGATGAAAAAGAGTATTCATTTCATCATTAGCTCTTTGATTATCACTACAATTTTTTTAAAAAAATTAATGTCGCAGTTGATGCTGAAATTTTGGAGACTATATTTAGAACTATAAAACCTACCAAAACCCATCTATACACTTTAATTAATAAACCATGACCTAAATTCTACTCAAACTTTTGTATGAAGACTAAAAAAATGCACCCCCAAAATTGTAAAAATTTAATAATAAATCAAAATTTCAGCATTAGCCATTTTCAGTAGTGGAAATAAAATTTATTTAATAACTTACTCATTTGCTTCAGAGTTTTTGTTATTAATTTGGCTTGAAGATTGTAACAAGCTTTTCTTAAATCCGGCTTGCATAATGAAATTGTGTGGAACCACCAGTTATCAAGGATTCTAAACTTGCATGCAACCTAATAACAATCATGGTCAGGCTTTTTTTGAAGAATTTTGCAAGGCTATGATCTTTGCTATATCTTTAGCTTATCAATATTAGGTATGTAAATTTTTTACAAATTCACCAGATTCAAATATTCGTTTACATTTTGTTTTATACTTCTTTTGCATCTTATTTCGAATATGTTCATTATTTCTTTTAACATTTAGAATTGTTGATCTAATGGTAATCATTGCTAAAAAAAATTTTTTAAAGAGATTTAAAAATTTCTTTTGCATTAATAATTTGATTAATATTAATAAATAATTAATACACTTCATTAGATTTATTTCTTCAAGTTCCATAAAATGTGCTTCCCATTTTTTTTTCTTGCTCCATATAATGTCGAACCAGAATCATGAATTTCAATGAATGAAGTTCCTCAACTTAACTGATAGTATGTATTTTGAAAGTATTGGTAACCCAATACTTAAAACTTGAATTATGTGACAGGTTGGGATTTTTCAATAGATTCAAATACTCATTATATTGTTTTTTCTTTGATTAATAAAATTTTGAAGTATTCGCTCAAAAGTCTCATGACTTAAAAAATCGAACCTTTATGGATTCATGTTTAAATAATATAGAAGAAATTCAATAGAATAATATACAAAGAATTACAGAATTATCTTAATTAACTGGTGATATACTTTTTTCAAAATACATAATATTATATTATGCAATTTCATTTATATAGTTTAATATAAAATACATCTGAGTTACTTTTCAATCGGTGGAGATTAAAAAATAACAACCATCAATTCATAATCAACAAATTACAAAAAGACATGTAACATAACTGCGCCGAACTTTAGATTTGGTAAAATTAAAATGCTGTGGAATGTAGTACGTATGTAAAAAAACTTACGTATTGTGATGAAATCTCGTGAACGTTGATTTTTGACCAAGATTTGTACAAATGGCAAATATACCAGAAGAATGGCTTGAAAAAGCTATTTCCGAAAGACATATTAATTATATTGAATATAATAAATTTATAGACCCTACTGAGATCAGTAATGGAGGTTTTGAAAAGGTTCTTAAATGCGAGTGGAGAGACAACGAATTATCGGTTGCTCTTAAATGTCTTAAAGTTGATACAAACATAGATAAAAAGACTATTAAAGATTTTATTAATGAGGTATCATTTATTATATTAAATTTTAATATTATTCTACTTTAGAATATTAAATTTTTTAATCTATATAATTAGCTTAAACTATTACGAAGCGTTTCTAGTCATCCGAACATTATTTCATTTCATGGAGTCATGAAAGGTAAGCAAGTAATTTATAAAATTTAAAGTTATCAAATTTCAATTAATGATAAAATATTCATAAAATCTAATCAAATATAATATATAGATAGCAACGGATGTTATAATATGGTTTTACAATATGCAGACGACGGAACTTTACGAGAATACCTAATTAAAAATTTTACAAAATTACAATGGAAAGATAAACTATCCATTGCTAAGGAAATAGTGCTCAGACTTTTATTTTTACATAATAATAATATCATTCATAGAGATCTGGTAAATACTATGTTATATTTAATAGATTTTATATTTATCAGTTATTTATTATTAATTTACTAATGGTACTTTAATCATTATATTTTAATAATTTATTTTAATAATTTAGCATTCGAAAAACATCTTAATTCATTAAAAACAACCAAAGATTACAGATTTTGGATTATCAAAGCAAATGAATGAAATATCTATTACCTCAAACTCAATCATTCATGGAATGCTGGCATATATCGAACCTCAATGTCTTATTAAGCATGGATATAAATGTGATAAGAGATCTGACGTATATAGCTTTGGTGTAATTCTTTGGGAAATTTCAAGCAGAAGACCACTATTCCCATTCATTGAATTTGTACTTACACTTGCTATTCACATATTTCAAAAAAACCTATAGAAGGGACACCATCTCAATATGTCAGACTTTACCAAAAATGTTGGGATAGCAATCCTGCCAATCGTCCAGAAACAAGATTAATTCTTAATACTTTAAACCAAATTATTCCTGATGAATCTTTGAGTCAATACCATCTTATCGAGACATTATCTGATAATAGTGAAATTTCCTCAAGATGTCAAGACAATATTAGTATATCTGAATCACTTTATTTACATGATTCAAATACATCGGCACATAACGGCTATATCCTTGAGAATTTGAGAAAGAATGCACATGAATTTTTTGAGCAAGGCAAATTTCTCAAAGCATTAGAAATTTTTGAAGAAATCCTCGAAAACAGCCACGATAGCCCTGAAGATCAAAAAAATGCTTCAATCTGGGATTTATCTTCTAATAAATGTGGCGTGCTAAAAATAAACAAGCTAATAAAGGCACTTCTCAAGAACACCACGCTGAAAGATTTGAATCTTGAAAGTAATAAACTTGGTTCAGGAGGAGGAAACGTATTAGCTGATGCGCTTTGCAAGAACACTTTCTTAACAACATTAAATCTCAAGAAGAATGATCTTGGATCCGAAGGTGGAAAGGCATTAGCTAATGCACTTTTCAAGAATACCTCCTTAACAACATTGAATCTCAATTTTAATAATCTTGGATCCGAAAGTGGAAAAGCATTAGCTGATGCACTTTGCAAGAACACCTCATTAACAACATTAAATCTTGGGGAGAATAATCTTGGATCAGTAGGAGGAAAAGCATTAGCTGATGCCCTTTGCAAGAATACCTCTTTAAAAATATTAAATCTCTATAATAACGATCTCGGATCTGAAGGAGGAAAAGCGTTAGCAGATGCCCTTTGTGAG